CGGAGGAGGATTAAGACAGAGGAGGACAGCAAGAGGCTACAAGATGACCTGGACAAACTGAAGGAATGTTACAATAAATGGCTACTAGAGTTTAATTCAAGTAAATTAATGAAACTAGGTGGAGGGAATATGAGGCCAGACACAAGGTACCAAATGGAAGAGAAAATCCTCCATGAAATTGACAGAGAGAAGGATCTAGGGGGTTCATATCACACCGAACTTGTCTCATGAAGCCCACATGGATAGGATATCATCAGCGGCATGTGCGAGGCTGGCTATCATAAGGACTGCCTTTAGAAATTTGTGTCAGGAATCATTCAGAACCTTCCATACCATATGTGCTAGACTAATCCTAAAGTCTGTGGCTCCAGCGTGGAGTCCATCTCCAGTCAAATGCAAGTCGAAATTGTTTGACAAAAGAAATCTCAGATAGGAACCTGAGAATGAAAACAGAACTTCCATGTAGATACTTCAACGACCAACTAGAATTGGCCGCAGACGAAAAACCAATTGGAATACAGAGGGATGCATGTGGAGTGGGTTGAAACATAGAAACAAAAGCTAGGGGAGATTATGAACAGAAACTTCCTAACACACTATTTTAGGGAGACAAAGAGAAAAAAAAGGGGAAGGGGAAATGCTCTACCAGCAAGATTTGACCTAGACCTGGGTAAATACTAGTTTGAATATAAAGTTGTTGAATTATGGAACGAAAAACAGAGTAACTAATCAACGTGGGAGCGCAGAATATTGGTCAAAGTTTAGACATATATATGGGTGAGTTTAGATGGGGATAAGAGAGAATAATATTATTAATTTCCTGGAGCAAATGAATGTTGATAACTGATAATTATTTGATAAATAAGTAACTGTGGACGAGAAAACAATAAATATTGTCAGGAAATGTAGAGAGAATGATGGAGATAAATCCCAATAATTAAATAAAATAATAATAATAATAATAATAATAATAATAATAATAATAATAATTATAATTATAATTATAATTATTATTAATTAATTAATTAATAATAATAATAATAATAATAATATAATTATCAGTATAGTTCAATGTAGTACAAAAAGCGGAAATTAAATCAATAAAATAACATAACAAAGATACCAGACTGACAAACACAAGACAAATATGACACCTTCGAAAGTAAAGTAATAATAAAGTGAATGCATTAAGTACGACACTGTACCACACACAGCTTCCAGGAGTCCATACTAAGGACTACACACCTTCGTATATGTAAATGACTTGAATGGGGTTGTTAATACGTTCATACCATTAGTTGCGAACAACACCACCTTAACGAAGACATATAGAATATCCGAGGATTATAAAACGATTCTGGGTGACACGGAATTCAAGGACTGTCGGGAGAATAACTACCTGAATTGAACCCAAATACCTAACTGCAATGCATTGGAGCAAAGAAAACCCGTTTAACAATGCGAAATGATAGATGATTAGCTAAAACATTAACAGAAAACGACTTGTGAGTTTATATCAGCGCATGTGCCAACCAGAAAAATATACGAATATAATTAAAAAAGTAAGAAAAGCGGCCTTGAGAGTATTGAACACTAGATATTATGATAGATAGTTTAAGTGTACGTGTTGCAAGATGGTTATCGCGGGGTTGCAAGGTCAACACTATTAAATATTAATTACTTTACTGGTGTACATTGCAACCCATAATATTATTTACAATTACCTGTGTTTCAACTGCAATACGTGTGCATGGTGCTGCTTATAAATGCCTGTTGTTGTGTAAATAAGTCATTTCAAGTTTAAGAATAATATTAAATGAATATCAATGCCATTGTGTGCGTGTGTGTGTGCGTGTGTGTGTGTGTGTGCGTGTGTGTGTGTGTGCGTGTGTGTGTGTGTGTGTGTGCGTGTGTGTGTGTGTGCGTGTGTGTGTGTGCGTGTGTGTGTGTGTGGTGCGTGTGGTGTGTGTGTGCGTGTGTGTGTGTGTGTGTGTGTGTGTGTGTGTGTGTGTGTGTGTGTGGTGTGTGTGTGTGTGTGTGTGTGTGTGTGCGTGTGTGTGTGTGTGTGTGTGTGTGTGTGTGTGTGTGTGTGTGTGTGTGTGTGTGTGTGTGTGTGTGTGTGTGTGTGTGTGTGTGTGTGTGATAACATAGCTCTCTTACCTAAAGAAACACAAGGCAAAACTAGATTATGTCTAGACATGTAACAAGGCCCATTACTAAACACAAGAGTCGACTCACTTAAGAATAGAGACTGAGGGACCTGGACCTCCCTATACAAGAGGGAAGAGCAAACAGGGCAGACATGATCACAACATCTAAAATTGAAAGGAAACTTAATAATTACACAGAGAAGCGCCGTTCAAAGTTTGGAACAGCAGACAGAAGAGAATATAAATGAAAACAGAAGACGCAGATGAGTAACAGAGATGCCAGAAAGAACTTCTTCACCATGACAGATGAGAAAGTGACTGATACTAATTAGCTTCAGAGTTTTATCATTACATGTAGATGAGTACATCTAGGAGAGTACACGCACAAGCACAGACATAACCTAGAAAACTGTAGAGATGTGAAGATAGGAGCTGATTGTCCCTCTACCTTTTCTACCCATAAACTCCCTCCCTCCTACCCAAAACCTTCTACCCTCTCCCAGCCTCTATCCCCTCTCCCCTTTCCCCTCTCCCCTTTCCCCTCTCCCCTCTCCCCTCTCCCCTCTCCCCTAGGACACACGAGCTCGCTAATGGCATAAATATTTGATTTACGGAGTTAAAGAAAGATGAATACAGAAGAAGTCGAGAAAATAATGAAGGTAAGAAGGACTCAACTTGGGTAATGTTCAGAGTGGGAGGGAGGGAGGGAGGGAGGGATGGATAGTGGGAGGGAGGGAGGGATGGATAGTGGGGGGGATATTCAGGGGGAAGGATCAGCTTAATATTGGATTAATCTGGATCTTTTTCTCGACTTACTGCATGGATTTTTGTTAGGGTGTGGGGGGGGGGGGTGGATGAGAAACGATTTCAATTCTCTCTCTCTTTATTTTTTAATCTTTTCCGTCCACCCTCTTTTCTTCCCCTTTTCCTTGTTTTTATGCACGTCTTTATTAATCCTCCCCATGTCCCTTTCGTAACATATTCTCATATCTCCTCCTGCACTCTGTATAACCTCTCTCTCTATGATTCACGAGTATTTCATTGTTTTTCTCTTCATTTCAAACCACTCTTTCTCTTCTTCTCTCTCTCTCTCTCTCTCTCTCTCTCTCTCTCTCTCTCTCTCTCTCTCTCTCTCTCTCTCTCTCTCTCTCTCTCTCTCTCTCTCTCTCTCTCTTCTCTTATTCCTGTGCACGCACATTATCGTTCCTTCCCCTACTCCTAGTTTTATCTTGTCTCTCTTTATGAGTAATATATTTTATCCCTCTTCGCATAGTCTTCTTTCGTTGCGGGTGCTCACACTACTTCCTTCTCCTCCTCTTCCTCCTCCTCCTATGTTTTCTCCTACCTCCTGCTAATTACCTAACAGTCCTTAACTAACAATGCCTACGGGAAAATGAGGTGCAGCTCTCCATGCCCCGTCTTAAAGGCCTGTTGTATCTGCTGCGTTACAACGGAACTGTTTTTGACGTTCAAACTCTTTTTCGAACTGTGAAGTTAAAATTGTGGATGGAGGTGGCTTCTGCAACTTCTTCTTTCAGTGTATTCCACTTCTCGACAACGTAAGGAAAAAAGGAAATACTCGTACAGGGTATGAGTATTTCATTACATTTCTTCCGGTGTCCTCTTGTCCTGGTTTCTCTCTCAGTTTGAAGTCCTTGTCTACCTTATTTATTTGTCCTCGGTATCTTGTATGTTGTGCTCATATCCCCCCTCTGCTCCTTCTTTCCTCTAGGTTTATGAGATTTAGATCCATTAGCCTATTCTCGTACCTTAACTCCCTTAACTCAGGTACTATTCTTGTTGCATACCTTTGTACTTGGTCAATCTTGGTTTTAGGTTTCACAAGGTGCGGATGTCATGCCGGTGCTGCGTACTGTAGTGTTGGTCTGACGAATGTTGTGTAGGTTGCCTTGAAGGAGACGTGTATCCTCTACATTCTCTCATGCTTTGACCTCATTCTCCTTCTCTGATTCACCTACTCCTACTCCTTCTCTACTCCACCTCCTCCTTCTCTGCTCCACCTCCTCCTCCTGCTCCACCTCCTCCATCTCCTGCTCCTCCACCACCACCTCCTCCTCCATCTCCTGCTCCACCTCCGCCTATACCTCCATCATCACACCTCCTCTGAGACTCTGGTGAAGTTGAAAATAGCGGATTATAGTTGAGCAGCGGAAGTTGGTCCCCGCGGAGGGCGCCATGTTGTGTGGGAGCCCTGGGACCCTCACACTTTTATAATGCTCTCCGGCTTCGGGCCACACTCATGTTTCTGGGCCACACTCATGTTTCTGGGCCACACTCATGCTTCTGGGCCACACTCATGTTTCTGGGCCACACTCATGCTTCTGGGCCACACTCATGTTTCTGGGCCACACTCATGTTTCTGGGCCACACTCATGTTCGGGCCACACTTGAGGCCCTGGGAACATAATAACGTAAATAAATATGAAACTGTCGGAGGCCACACTGGGCCATATTGGACCACACTGGGCCATACTGGCCCATATTGGACCACACTGGGTCATACTGGCCCATATTGGACCACACTGGGCCATACTGGCCCATATTGGACCACACTGGGCCATATTGAACCACACTGGGCCATATTGGGCCACACTGGCCCATATTAGACCACACTGGGCCATATTGGACCACACTGGGCCATATTGGATCACACTGGGCCATATTGAACCACACTGGGCCATATTGGATCACACTGGGCCATATTGAACCACACTGGGGCCATATTGGATCACACTGGGCCATATTGAACCACACTGGGCCATATTGGACCACACTGGGCCATATTGGACCACACTGGGCCATATTGGATCACACTGGGCCATATTGAACCACACTGGGCCATATTGGATCACACTGGGCCATATTGGACCACACTGGGCCATATTGGACCACACTGGGCCATATTGGACCACACTGGGGCCACACTGGGCCATATTGAACCACACTGGGCCATATTGAACCACACTGGACCATATTGGACCACACTGGGCCATATTGGACCACACTGGGGCCACACTGGGCCATATTGGACCACACTGGGCCATATTGGACCACACTGGGCCATATTGGACCACACTGGGCCACACTGGGGCCACACTGGGGCCACACTGGGCCACACTGGGGCCACACTGGGCCACACGACGCGGTCTATAATTATACCCAACCAATATTTGCATATAATACAAAGGTGATGAATATCAGCTCTGATTCTCATCAACCATCCTGATCATACCTGATCAACCAGGCTGTGATTCATACGTCAGGCTGCGAGCAGCCGCGTCCGACAGCCTGGTTGACCAGTCTAGCAACCAGGAGGCCTGGTCGAAGACCGGGCCGCGGGGACAGCTAAGCCCAATCAGCTAAGTTCTCGACGTATAATCGAGAATTCTGGGTTCGAGTCCCGGATGGGAGAGAAATGGATGGGCACATCTTCTTTCATCTAATACCTCTGTTCACCTAGCAGTGAGTAGGTACTCAGGAGTTAGTCAGCTTGTGGTGGGGTTGCATCCTGTGGGGGGACCTCGATAAAAGCCTAACGTGTATGAATACACTCTGGCTTCCTGTCCCCCGACACAATGAATGATTATTTTTTAAACAATTTATAAATCTTGTAGAGGCAATTACCTCGAAGACGTTAATTGGCTGTTGCTCTCGTCTACGACTTGCACTCACCTAATTGTGCTTGCGAGGGTTGAGCTTTGGCTCTTTGGTCCCGCCTCTCAACTGTGTACCAGCAGTGAAGGTGGTTACCGCTACTGATCTCGAGTCATTAATCGCTCCTGAACGGTCGTGTGCTTCAAGTCTGCTTAGTACAAGACTTTCTCTTATAGTCTTATAGTATAGTCTTTCCTTAGTGTACAACTTCACCTTTTTTCTTAATAGTTACATGTGTCAATGTATAGATAACATGATAACATGATAACATAACTCATTACATTCTACATTTAATCACGTTCCTGTGGTTGATATCGTGGGTGGTGTTGCCAGCATTGCGTCAGGCTATTCCTGTACAGTCTCCAGTCGACCCCAAAAACACATTTTTACACAGTAACCAAAATTTTATTTTTCGAATATAAATTAATGATTTTTTGTATATGAGAGTCCTGTGTATAGTTAGGTCTATGGTAGATTAGGTTTTGTGTTCTGGTTCTGTTGGCGATAGTTTGCATTGCAGTTGGCAACCCTTCCTCACACTAGGCTGGTTAAAGCAGCGGCCGTCCTTCCCAGACGCATTCATCAACTTTAACATACTGTGTATAAAATATTGCTTTGTTCGCACATATAAATTAATATTATTATACATACAAATTTTGTCTATAGTTAGGCGTAGGTTAGGTTAGGTTAGGTTAGGTTAGGTTAGGTTAGGTGTTTAGGTTCTGTTGGCGATTATTTGTATTTGTAGTGCGTGGGTGAAGCATTTACAGCGTTGTGGTTCGAACAGAGGACGTGAGCGAAGCACTTGTTCCGGAAGTGTTCGAACGTCATCAGTTGTGAGTCGTGTGTAAAGTGTTTTACGTTCATGAGGAGTGAGTTTAGCGGCTGGATGAACGAGCATTTAGGCTTTGTCTACAAGAATGGGCTGTATAGAGAGGTGCGCTTTGAACAAGGGAAGTGACCGAAGCGTTTTGGCTGAAGTTTTAAGCACGAGTGTGAAGCAACACCGCCTGGTTTCGAGCGGGTTGATGAACGAGTTCACTCGACAGGTAGACGGCAACCCCTTACTTCCGTGGGCCAGGGACAGGACCCAACAAACATTTACACATATTCTTGCGAAACCTGTACGTCTTTTCTCAATCTGACAGGTTTATTTACATTTATTAAACAGTTTATCCGCATCAAAACTCCCCAATAAAATGTTATTATTGCCATTAACAGCCTCCTGTTGCCTCGGAGCTCCTTAACTATTTCATGACTGTAAACAAGGCCGCCAAAGATTGAGAAAAGATGAAGAGGTTGGTAAGTAGTTACGTAACTGCTTAGTGAACCCGGCCTCAGGGCAGTAAGCTGTTTGATATAGTTCATGAAGGTTGTGTTGTGATCAAATCCACAAGGGCCGTGACAAGGATTCGAAGGATTGTCACAGCCCGTGTGGATGTGTTCATTGATGCATCACGTTATTGTAATTTCTGTGTGTAATTGTGTTGTGATGTGTGGGAGAAAACCGTCAGAAATGTCCCTGGAAAATGTTCTCCAGCGTCTGCTGCTGGATAAGAACAGTTTAAGTTAAGTCACAGTGAACAAGAAGAACGCCTTACAGTATCACTGCCAAGTCTAAACCCACGGGTTTAATATGCAGAGTGACGCTAGGCCTTTTACGGGTTCACCATAGCCCGTGCTACATGGACACTTCGTTCTAAGTAGCTAAATCTAAAACAACAACAACGACAGGCCTTTACCGACGTGGCAAAATGACGAACTTGTCGGCGGCGACAATCTCTCGTATAGTTTTTCTAATCTTGTGCTGAATGTTTGCGACGTCTTGCAAGGTTTGTGGCTGCAAGCTCGTGGCGGGCAGTGTTGCGGCCTCCAGTGGCTCCAGTCTCATCTCAGTAGACGAGTACCTCCGCCGTCTTCCACCTTCGTCAAGGTAAGCAACACTTCTCCTTCCTCAACTGTCACCCTCACCTCACCTGCTTATTTATATATGTATATAAATGTATATATGGATTCTTAAGGGGATTGTATATATGGGAACAAGTCCCTAGGAGCCTTGATTAGGGTTCGAACCTACGTGCTGGATGTTCCCAGATGCTCTCATTTATACATTTGATCAATGTTCTTGTGATTTCTGTGTATTGTATATAAGTAATTCTCTTTCATGCCATTACAGGTAAGAATTAAGTCTTCGAGGGACAGAAGTCCGCCAGGTTTGACGTAAGTTCCAATTTGACTCTGTTTCCATAACATTATTTTAGAGATGAACCAAACTTTAGAGTGTGGGAGGTTCCCATAATTGTTGAGTGTGTCATATTTATCATTGTTGAGACATGTGGGTACAGGTGGGTTGGTCGCTTCCGTATGACTGAGTTATTAAATGGAGTACTTAACTACTAAGTACTTGACCGACCACTTAAATAGTTGGTCGGTCTGGGAGGTTAATTAGCTTACTGAGTGACAAACAGGTGTGTTAGAAGCGATCTTAGTGTAGAGTAAGCAGCTGTAAGTTGGTTTTTGTTTCCTGTGAGGCAGCATCTGCCATCCCTGAACTGTGAGGCAGCATCTGCCATCCCTGAACTGTGAGGCAGCATCTGCCATCCCTGAACTGTGAGGCAACATCTGCCATCCCTGAACTGTGAGGCAGCATCTGCCATCCCTGAACTGTGAGGCAACATCTGCCATACCTGAACTGTGAGGCAGCATCTGCCATCCCTGAACTGTGAGGCAGCATCTGCCATCCCTGAACTGTGAGGCAACATCTGCCATCCCTGAACTGTGAGGCAGCATCTGCCATCCCTGAACTGTGAGGCAGCATCTGCCATCCCTGAACTGTGAGGCAGCATCTGCCATCCCTGAACTGTGAGGCAGCATCTGCCATCCCTGAACTGTGAGGCAGCATCTGCCATCCCTGAACTGTGAGGCAGCATCTGCCATCCCTGAACTGTAAGGCAGCATCTGCCATCCCTGAACTGTGAGGCAGCATCTGCCATCCCTGAACTGTGAGGCAGCATCTGCCATCCCTGAACTGTGAGGCAGCATCTACCATCCCTGAACTCATAATGGTGTGTGTTTGTACTGGCCTAATTGTGCTTACGAGGCTGAGCTTCGGTTTTTTCCCCGCCTCTCAACTGTCAATCAACTGGTGTTCAGGTTCCTGAGCCTACTGGGCTCTATCATATCTACATTTGAAACTGTGTATGGAGTCAGCCTCCACCACATCACTGCCGAATGCATTCCAGTTGTTAACTACTATAATATGTCTGTGGCTCATTTGGGTACTTGATTTCCACCTGTGTCCCCTTGTTCGTGTTCCACCCGTGCTAGTTTGTCTTTGTCTACCGTTTCAATTCCTCTGAGAAAATTGTAGGTAGTAATCATGTCTCCCCTAACTATTCTGTATAATAGTGACATAAGGTTTAGCTCCAGTCATCTTTCCTTGTAGCTCATGCCCTTCGGCTCGGGTAATAGTCGTGTGGCATTGAACCTTCTCCATCTCAGTTTTCTGCTCGACTAGATACGGACTCCTCACTGGAGCTGCATAATCCAGGATTGGTCTGACATATGTGGTATACATGGTTTTAAATGATTCCTTACACATGTTTCTAAAGGCAGTTCTTATGTTGGTCAACCTGGCATATGCTGCAGAAGTTATAATTTTAATGCGGGATTCAGGGATGTCCAGCCTGATATCAAGCCCCAGATTTTTATTTTTTCTTGGTTATCGAAGGCTTTCATCTCCCAAATGGTTTCTGGCCTCCTGCACCCTACGTCTATTTTCATTTCTTTACGTTTGCTTGAATTAAACTCTAGTAGCCATCTGTTGCACCATTCTTTCCGTTGTCCAGGTCATCTTGTAACCTTATGCTGTCTTCATGACTTAATCCTTCACATAATTTCCGCATCATCAGTAAACATTGAGAGGAATGATTGTCTCTGTTGCTTAGGTAATTGAGTGTGTGTACGCATCTATTTGTGTCTGCAGGATAGAGCGTTGGCTCTTGGATCCCGCCTTTCTAGCTTTCGGATGTTTAAAGCACTAACTCCTGTCCTACTTCTCTATCATAAATAGTTTTAAAGCTATGAATAGTGTTTGCGTCTACAATGTGCTCCTTTAGGTCATTCCATTCCCCCACTACTCTCACGTTAAAAGAAACTTTCTAACATCTCTGTGACTCATCTGAGTTTCCAGCTTCCACCCATGTCTCCTTGTTCTGCTGGTATTCCGTGAAAACATTTCGTCTATTTCCACTCTGTCAATCCCCCTATGTATTTTGTATGCTGCTATCATATCTCCCCGCTCCCTCTTATTTTTCTAATGTTGTCAGGTTCAGTTCCCTCAGTCGCTCTTCATATCCCATCCCATGCAACTCCGGGACGAGCCTCGTCG